CCAAGACAGAGACAAACACATACACACACATACACAGGCAGACACACAGATACATACACACATGCATACACTCGCAGTCACATAGACAGATACACACAGACACACAGATAGACACACACAGACACAGACACACATTGACACATACACACAGACAGACAGACACAGACAGATTTACACAGACACGCACACACACACATATATACTGGTGTGCTGATAATGCTTAATGATGAAAACTGGGTGGAAGTTGGTGTGGAGCACACCCTCTGACATTGCCTGTTTGAGCTGGATGGGCTGTGCTGTAGATTCTGTGTATGGATAGAGTCAGGTCATAGGTAGAATAGATTCTGTAAACAGTCTGACAACATTGAAACAAAATCAATATATACTTTAAGTTGTTTAATTAACAAACTTTGTACACTTTGGTGACTTTGTTTGTTACACAGACTCTTTGTGGGATCTCGGAGATAGTAAGAACTGCTGATGCTGGAGTCAGAGATAACACAGTGTGGAGCTGGACGAACACAGCAGGCCAGGCAGCATCAGAGCAGCAGGAAAGTTGATGTTTCATGTCGGGATCCAGAAGAGTCCCGACCCGAAACGTCAACTTTCCTGCTGCTCTGATGCTGCCTGGCCTGCTGTGTTCCTCCAGCTCCACACTGTGTTATCTTTGTGGGAGCTGTTCATTTCCCACTTGTCGTAATCCTGCCAGGGTCTCATGGAGCTTGAACAAAGGAGAAAAGATTGTTCACAAACGTCACAGTGAGGGAGAAGTGCCTGAGATATTACTGACCTCGAACAATTGTAGGAAAATTAACCTTTCCAACTAAACCACAGACATGCTCAAAAAGAATATGTTTCAGAACTCCTGAGATATTGGCTTAGATTGAACAGTTGCCCTCAGAGTACAGTGATGAATGGGACCTTACTTTCAGAAGCATTCTGCAGACTATACGAGGATCCATTAACTTCCTTCTCCTAAACATACCCTGTTACACCCTGCCCACATCCAAATGAGCTGGCATCATATTTGGCATGATTACATCACAGAATGTGATTCCCTTTCAGTGGTTTTATGTTCCAACCACATCTGATTATACCATGGACCTTGCTTATGGGTAAAATTTTACAGCCAGATAGTTTTCCTGCCACTAGACTTATACTGTGGCTCTTGGTGGATCCAGACACCCACACACATGCATGCCAGCCCTGGTAAATAGGGCCTTACTTATAGCCGGGGATGGTCTACAGCACGATTTGAAGCTGGGACCTTCTGCCTCCCAGACATGACAGCAACTCACTGAGACACTGCAACTCCCAAAGACTTGGCTGCACTTTCAGTCCAAACCATGAAAGGAAGAAATTCTTAAGCCAGCAGAGCAAGTGAAGATTCAAGCACACAAAGTACACTATGGTCATGATCATGGCTGTGTGAACCAGGCTTCACAGAAACAAGTGAGAGAAACATAAAGTACTGCAGATGCCAGAGCTCTGAAACTAAAACAGAAAACACTGGAGAAGCTCAGCAGCTCTGGCTGCATCTGAGAAATGCCAACGGAGTGTCACTGGACTCGAAATGTTAACTCTGTTTCTCTCTTCACAGACGCTGCCAGATCTGCTGAGTTTCTCCAGTATTTCCTGCTTCGAGATCGGTGAAACAAGACTGGGGTGGGTCATGGAGAGTGTAGCCAGGTTATCTCTGTGTTCATTGCCTCAGCCCTCAAGACATTGGATCAAGATAAAATGTACTGCAATTCCAACCAATTGGGAAGAACTGGAAAGGCTCAGGTCATTAGAGTGACATACAATCGGAAAGAATATGGGAATCTACTGGAATTTGATATTTAGGATAAAAATTCTCACAGGTTGGGAGATTGCAACATGGAGACATTGAATTCGAACAGTATTAAAAGCTCTCCATGGTTCAGTACCCCACCCCCCCATCTGACCATACACATCCACTATCCACTGACATGCTTTCTGACCCTGCTGTTTGGAGCTTTCCTCATTTTCCGAGATGGATAACAGTCATTCCCTACACTGATATCAGGGGCCAACTCTCCAAATCAGTTCACCACTCTCAGCCCTTCTGGTTTGAAAAGCTTCTTAAAATGCAGCACCCAGTGATTGGTTGCTGTCTGACACATTCTCCAGTCCCATATCCACACTCTGCCTCCTAATTCAACCACCCAATCAGCAGTGCGATAGTAACATTGGAAATAGGAGCAGGAGTAGGCCATTCAGCCCCTCAATCCTGCTCTGTCATTCGAGATCAGGCTGATCATTCACCTCAATGTCATATTCCTGCACCATCTCCATATCTCTTAGTGACATTAGAAACTGAAAATTCTGTGTTGAATGCACTCAGTGACTGAGACTCAACAGTCCTCATGAGACAGTTATTGCAAAGATGCACCAATCGTCTGAGAGAAGCCAGGAGTGTGATGGAATACTCCCCACTTGCCTGGATGGGTGCAGCCCCAACAACACTCATGAAGCTCAAAACCATCCAGGACAAAGCAGCCGCTTGATTGGCACCACATCCACAAATATTCACTCCCTCCACCACCGACGCTCAGTAGCAGCAGTGTGTACTATCTACAAGATGCACTGCAGAAATTCACCAAAGATCCTCAGACAGCACCTTCCAAACTCAGAACCACTTCCATCTAGAAGGATAAGGGCAACAGATACATGGGAACACCACCCCCTGCAAGTTCCCCTCCAAGTCACTCATCGTCCTGACTTGGGAATATATTGCCGTTCCTTCACTGTCGCTGGATCAAAATCCTGGAATTCCCTCCCTAAGGCCATTGTGGGTCAAACTACAGCGCATGGACTGGAGCAGTTCAAGAAGGCAGCTCACCACCACCTTCTCAAGGGGCAACTAGGGAATAGACAATAAATAATGGACCAGCCAGCAACACCCACATCCTGTGAATGAACAAATAAAAAGCTCCTTATTTTTTGTCACTCCTTGTGTCTGTGAAGCCCCTTTGCACATTTGTAACATTGAATGTGCTCCACAAGACTAGGAGTCGCTTTGGTTAATGTGCAATTTTCCAGTCACTCCGGGAATTTTAAAACAGAAGCCCTTTCATAGTGAAGCCAGCATCCATCGTGACTCAAGTAGTTCCTTTTTCCGTTTCATCAAAGTGACAGTCATCACCATTTGATTATCCAGTCCCACAGGGACACTCCTAACATCGTGACATTGGTAGGGATAAAGCAAATTACAGGACAAATAGCTTTCTCTCAGATTACCACAGAATGAGCTCTTATTTCACTCGGTCACAAAACCTTACGTTAATATCACACATTGCTGCATTCGTTTTATCCTGAAGTCAGTAGAGGTCCTCGATTGATGTGGACGCCATTCATTGCAGTGTATTCCCAGTCTGTGCTGTTACTGGGTGTGAGCTGCCTGTGTTTCGGGAGGTGGCTCCGACCTCAGGCTCTGCACAAATCCTCACAATCCACGGGCCCTGATGTTGGTGGGTGTCTCAGGATTGTGATTTTTCAGCACTAACCCTGGGGAGCCATAAAACATCGGAGCAGATGATGAGTGATTGATAACCAGGGACTCACGCTCGGAATTCAAATGAGTACAGGCCCAATGTACTCAAACTCTCCTCATAAAACAGCCTCTCCATTCCCAGTATCAACCAAGCCAATTATGTCTAGACTGCCCCCGAAGGGATACTTGCTCCAATCTGCACTTTTCCAGGCCATTCAGCCCATCGAATCTGCTCCACCATTCAATAAGACCATGGCAGATCCTCAACTCCACTTTCCTCCCTTTCCCCATAACGCTTGATTCCCTTTCTGATTAAAAATCTGTCAGCCTCCACCTTGAATATACTTAAGAACCCATTCTCAACAGCCCTCTGCAGTAAAGAATTCCACAGATTCACTTCCCTCTGAGAGGAGAGATTTCTCCTCATCTCTGTCTTAAATGTGTGACCCCTTACTCGCGGTTTTACCCTCTGGTATAAACTCTCCTAAAAGGGGAGACAAGTTCTCCATATGGAGCCTGACAAATGCCCTGACAATCTTGTATGTATCAATAAGGTCATCTTTCATTCTTCTAAACCCCAATGAGTACAGACCCAACCTACTCAACCTCTTCTCATAGGCAGGGTGCAAATTCAGTGGTCAGGGGGCAGGGGAGAGAGCTACTGTGGAAAGGTGCAGATCACAGCAAGTAATCCTTCAGGACAAAGACTAGACATGGTCTACTTGGATGATCCTGGATATGGCGGGTCTGGCGTATGAGGAGAGTTGAAGTAGATAGGGTCTTCACTCAGTTGAATTTAGAATCCGAGTCCCTGGTTACCAACAACTCATCACCTGGGGGTTGCTGGGGCAGGTAATGCGGACCGAAGAATTACCCAATGGAAAGGAGTCCAGATTGGAAGCTGCTTTGAGACTGAGATGGAAATTTATTTTTTTTGAATTCCCAGACTCGGAAGAGAACTGGTGAATGGAATTGAGGAGCAGATCAGCCATGATTCAACTGAATTGCTGAACAGGTAGGAGGGGCTGAATGGCCTCCTCCTGTTCCTCTAATAGTTTGACACAACGTTCTGCCAGCAGATGTCTCACATGGGCAAATATTGATTTGTGCCAAATGACCTCTGGAAGTGGTTGTTCATGTATCATCCAGTTTCAGACCTTTCTCACACTCATTTTATAAATCTGGACCCAAAAGTTGAGTATTGTGCCTGGGTCTGGCTTCCTCACTCCAGGAAAGGGCTTAATTGAGAAAGATGATACAACGGTTCAAATGGTAAGGAAGAAGGGAAGCAGGAACTTTTTTAACAAACCTAAATGGAGAAGTTTACATTTTGAGATGACAAGATGTAGAGCTGGATGAAAACAGCAGGCCAAGCAGATCAGAGGAGCAGGAAAGTTGACGTTTCGGGCCTAGACCCTTCAAAAGTTCCGAAGGATCTAGGCCCGAAACGTCAGCTTTCCTGCTCCTCTGATGCTGCTTGGCCTGCTGTGTTCATCCAGCTCTACACCTTGTTATCTCAGATTCTCCAGCATCTGCAGTCCCTACTATCTCTGAAACAGTTTACATTTTGAAAGGTTCTGACCAGAAAAATTTAGAGAAACTATTTATACTGACACAAGATTTGGTAATCTGGGATTAAAAATCAGAAATTTTGGACCATTAGAAACAGACCAAAGGGAAGTATTATGCATTCAGCATTAGGTCAGGACAGGGAATACTCAGCACTGCAATTAGAATCCCTTCCAAATTAAGACAGAGAATGTTTTGCAAAGGAAAATATCTCAAAGGCTCTTCAGCAAAGGATGGCAAAATGGGCTACTATCATTTACAGGGCCAGCGCAGGCATGTTGGGCCTAATGGTGTCTTTCCATGTCCAGTTAAGGTATTTCTAAAGATTTCTTTATGGGATCCATTAGTCACTGCATTCTGATGGGATTCTGTTGAGGGACAGAGCACGCACAAACACACACACACACACACACATGTACACAGACACGTACACACACGTGCACACACACACGCATATGCGCGCGCACACACACACACATACGTGCGCGCACGCACACACACACTGTCCTTTAGCCTCAAGTGGCACTCTGTGTTTGAAAGGCAATTTCTCAATATATTTATATAGCACCTGTCACGATCTCAAGACATTGCAGGATATGTCACAACCAGCAAAGTAGCTTTTAAATGTAATGGATTTTGGAAATACAGGAAGGCGATGACCCAGTGATATTACTGTTCGAATATTAATCTAGTGTCCCCGATAAAGTTCTGAAGACCCAGGTTCAAATCCTGCCATGGCAGATGGTGGAAACAAAAAGTCTTGTAATTAAGAATCTAATGAAGACTGTGAAACTGTTTTCAATTGTGGGAAAAACCCATCTGGTTCACTAATACTCTTTAGGGAAGCAATCTGCCATCCGTACTTGGTCTGGCCTACATGTAACTCCAGACCCACAGCAATGTGGTTGACTCTGAACTGCCCTCTGGGCAATTAGGGATGGGCAATAAATGCTGCCTGGTCAGCAACGCCCTCATCCCATGAATGAATAGAAAATATAATAATGGGGTGAGAGTGTCAAACTGCAAAAAGCAGTCAATTTGCCCACAGGAAGATCCAAGAAACACTACTGAGACAACCTGCTGCTTCTTGATGATAATCGGGAGGCAAATATAGTCCAGGACATAAACAACGAACAAAAACAAAGTTGCTGGAAAAGCTCAGCAGGTCTGGCAGCATCTGTGGAGGAGAAAGCAGAGTTAACGTTTCGGGTCCGGTGACCCTTCCTCAGAACTGATAGTCCAGGACATAATGGGAATGCCCCTGCTCTCTAAAGAATGATGCAGAATCTTTTACTCCCACTTGAGGAAGTTGTCATGACTTCAATCAAATACTTTGCTTGAACAATAGTGCTTTCATAAACACTAAACTTCCTCCATACTGCTCTGTGAAGGTTAGTCTAGACAATGATCTTAAAGCTTTGCAGCAAAGGAGCATCCACTGCGCATTGAGAAAGTGGATTGCCCTGTCACAGACATGCATACATTTGTAGAGTTATGGCTCCTTAGTAAGCGGTGCTGGTGAGCAGTTCACAGCTGAACTGAAGATGGAACAAGCCTCAAGCATCAAATTCAAAGGACAAGTGTCTAACCATTGGGCAATCAGTTCCTGTTTCAATAGATATGGCAAGTAGATCAAAATTTAAACTTGGTTCGACGCTAAAGAGGATATAGATCACTTTGATAAACATCTATGTGGCAGCTATAAATTGCACCTGATGTAAGCTTCATATCGAATACTTAACACCAAAATTGTCAACATTTAGCATCTCAATGAGGATGAGAGGCTTAAGGAAAATGACGGAAATTAGATGCTGCTCTGTCTTTACCCAAAGTGTGATAATATTGAGTTTCATCTTAGCAAGAGTGTTTGAAAAACTGTTTCACTATGTCCAGTCTACTGGCATTAATCCTGTAAAATCACTTTTCGAGGATAGATTTTCATAAGTGAAACATTATTAGTATCTAGGAGAAGGTAGGGACAGAAATAAGGATACAGCTTCTCTGTAAAGGTTTCTGTGAAAGTGTAGAGTAGGGCCATGTCTTCAAGGTTATAAAAAGACACCTGTCCAGCTTTATAATCCAGGTAAACGCGGATGATGTTGGGACTAATGCTGAGCTCCGTGCGCCAGGGCGAGGTGCATGCATAGTATTCATTGCCATCCATTCGCCCAATGGCCCAGAAACCATTCTCCGGATCCACTTTGATGATTCCTTTCCTCTGGATGGATTCTCGGGCCACTCCTAAACACCAGCTGCTCTGGCCCCTCACGTCCACATCCCAGTGATGCTGGCCTGAATTGAACCCCTCCAGTCCCAGCACCGAAACACAGGAATCGAACCGCTCTGGATTGTCTGGTAGCAGTTGTTTGATGGGGCTGTATCCCATCATAGACAAATCCTGAGACAGAGAGAGCCAAGGGGCTGCTGTGTTTGGATCCAGGGTCACAGAGGCTGAAGAGACGGAAAATGACAAGTTAAAGCTGATCTCTTCCGTAAGTGATACATGTCAAATGAGAGCATTGCTAGCCACACACACACACAAACACACACAATATTCTCTCTCTCTCACACACACATATTCTCTCTCTCTGTCATACACACACACACAAATATTCTCTCTCTCTCACAAGCATGCACACATTCTCTCTCTCTCTCGCACACACACACAGATACACACACACATATTCTCTCTCACACACACAGGCGTGCGCACACACACACACACATCTTCTATCTCTCTGTCACACACACATATTCTCTCTCTCTCTCATACACACCCACACACACGTGCGCGCACGCATACACACACACACACACACACACACAAACCTGTATATGTGTCTAAAGCAGGCTCCAGAGACATTGAAAGCAGGTCATATCCTGGGGACGGTGATGTGGAGGTGCTGGCATAGTGGTACTGTCACTGGGCTAGAATCCAGAATCCCAGGTAATGTTCTGGGACTATGGCAGATAGTGGAATTTGAATTCAATTGAAAAGTAAACTGGAATTAAAGGCTAGCCATAGAGTAACCAAGTAATCATTGTCAACTGTCAGGGGAGGGAAAAACCATGTGGTCCACTAACATCCTTCAGGGAAGGAAATCTGCCATCCTTACCTGGTCTGACCCACATGTGACTCCAGACCCACAGCAATGTGGTTGACTTAACCAGTCTTTGAGTAATTAGGGATGGGCAATAAATGCCAGCAATGTTCAGAATAATAGGAAAGTGTTCCTCCTGCCTGGACGGCAATCTAGAGGAGCCAATCACCTGTCTTTATATCACTTTTCTCATTTCTAGTCTTACTAATTCCAATAATAATTGAGTTTATCTAACACTGGTACCATCACAGAGCATAATCAGATTAAAGATGACATTAAGCTGAATTTTGAGTATATTTGGCACAAGGCTTATTCAAAGAGATAGGATTGAAGGAGGAAATGAAGGTTCAGGGATGGAATTCCTGAGTTCAGGTCCTCATCAGCTAAAAGTACAGCCAACAAGGACAGAGTGATGGGAATCGGGGCATTGGGGGGTGGTGAAAGGCTCAAGAGATGGGAATCAATGGAGTGCAGATACCTCGGAGGGGTATGTGGGCTGGATGAGATTACAGAGATAGGGTGATGGGTGGGGATGGGAGGTGGGGAGGTGTGAGATGGGGGGATTTGACAGTGGGCAGCATCTGATGAAGCAACAAGTCAACAGGAGGCAGGAACATGGAGGGCAGCCAACTCGTATCACTGGCTCTGTCTGTGAGGAGGCGGTGGATATTTTGGTGGGATGGAGAATCATTCTGTGTGAACTGTTACAATTGCAGTATTGCTTGACCAAGAGTCAGGGTGAGTGAGTCAGGATAGCAGGGGGGTATGGTGAGCGGGATTTGGTGGGAGCTCAGAAAGCAAGGGCAGAATTTCAGACAGAGGGATTTTGGAAAGGTAAGGTAAAGACAGCCAAACAGCGAGGGAGTTAGAATGGTCACATTTGGAATTAATGCATGTATTGCAGATGGATGAGTATGGGCAGGAATAGGACAATGTTACAGGGACAGAAGCTGGTGGTTATGGTAACAGAGAGCATTGAGGTCAGTGAACAACCAACTAAAGCCTCAAGGGTAATTGTGAGCAGCCTGGATCAGCACAATACTATCGTCAGGAAATGTCAGGTAAATCTCTTAGCTAGCAAGAGATTTGATTCCCCCAGTTTGATTAAAAATGAGAGTTGCTATCACAGACTTTTCACATACCCAATAACCCATTTTCAGCTCAATTTATATATTATTTATTGGAGAAAACTCTGAAACATGATTTAGTGTCTAATGGTAAAACATGCATACATATCTTCTATAGAATAGTTTATTAAGACCATAAGAAACGAGAAATAGGACTAGGCCATTCGGCCCCTTGAGCCTGCTCCACCATTCAATCGGATCATGGCTGCTCTGACATTCCTCGCATCCACTTTGCTGCCCTTTACCTGCAACCCTCAATTCTCCGACTGATAAAGAATCTCTCTGTCTCAGCCTTAAATATACACAAGGACTCTGCACCCGACCCCCCCACAGCTGTCTTTTTGTCTTCTTTATTCATTTACAGGATGAGGGTGTCACTAGCTAGGCAGCATGTATTGTCCATCTTGCCCAGTTAAGAGTCAACCACATTGCTATGTGTCATATATAGGTCAGACCAGGGAAAGATGGTAGTTTCCTTCCCTAAAGGACATGAGTGACCCAGATGGGTGTTTCCAATGGATTCATGGTCATCACTAGACTCTTAATTCCACATCCTTTTAATTGAATTCAAATTCCACCATCTGTTGTGATGTGATTCGAACCCAAGTTCCCAGAACATTATCCAGGTCTCTGGATTAAGAGTACAGCAATAATACCACTTGGGCCATCCCCTCCAATCACCTCTGTGTTCCAAAGACTCATAACCCTCTGACAGAAGAAATTCCTCCTCCTCTCAGTCTTAAATTGGTGCCCCTTTATTCTGAGAGTGTGCCCTCTGGTCCTAGACTCTCCCATGAGGGGAAACATCATCTCAGCATTTACTCTGTCAAGCCCCTTAAAAATCCTGTATGTTTCATTGAGATCATCTCTCATTCTTCTAAACTCCAGTGAGTAGAGTCTCAACCTGTTTAGCCTTTGCTAATAAAACAGTCCCTCCATTCAGGGGATCATCCTAGTGAACGTTCTCTGAACTGCCTCCAATAAAATGGTATCTTTCCTTAAATGAGCAACCAAAACTGCTCATACTACTCCAGATGTGGTCTCACCAGCACAACCTTGTCTACTGCATCCGATGCTCCCATTGAGGTCTTCTCTACGTCAGTGAGGTCAAACGTAGACTAGGTGACTGTTTCGCCGAGCATCTTTGCCTGGCCCATAACAACCAGCCTAACCTCCTGCTCACCGCCTACTTTAATTCCCCACCCTACCCCTGCCTGCCGCTCCTTCCCCACTCCCTTTCTGACATGTCCATCCTAGGCCTCCTCCAGTGTCACAGCGATTCAGAATGCAAATCTGGGGGACAACACCTTATCTTCCACCTGGGCACCTTACGGCCCAGAGGACTCAACACTGAGTTCTCTAATTTCAAATGACCTTCCCACCCATCCACTGGATCCCTTTCCAGCCCCATTTCCTGCCTTCCATTCCACCTCCTGACCATTCCTTCCAGCTACCAACTGGATTCATCCCTCCCATTGACCAACCAGGTCGTACCTATTACCAGTGTCCACCTATCACCACCATTCTGCTACATTCCCTCCCCCGCTCTTTATCTGCAGCTCCCCCTATAGCCACATCCAGTCCTAGAAGGGTAATACCCAAAACATTGACTGTTCCTTTCCTCTAGATGCTTCCTGGCCTGCTGTGTTCTTCCAGCCTCCTGTTTGTCTACCTTGGATTCTGGCATCTGCAGTTTTTTTTTGTCTGTAAGCATCTTGCACAGTTGCAGTAAGATTTAATGGAATCTATCCTTTCATTCTATAATGACAGAGCTGAATTGTTTTACTGCTGGATATAAATGCATTGCTGATATGATACACACCTGCATTGATAATGTTCAGCATCTTCTTCCAGACTTTGTATTGTAAAGATCCAACATAGCAACCGACATTAATCATGGCAGAGACTGTCTCTGGGCACTGGGGAGTGTAGTTCGCTCTGTAAGGAGACAGTGTGTTGGAGGTGTTAATGTTGTGCTCTTTCAGAGGTCGCTCTTATACATTGAAAATCAGGAACTGCCTGATTTAAACTCATCCTCTCCCTGAGATGGAAGCAAGTAATTTAAGAATCGAAACAATGGAAATGAATTTATCTGACTATCACTTGAACTGTTCTTAAGGATTATTTGCATATTTTGAAACATAATGTGAATGCAACATCATTGATTCTATCTGACTAAGAAACTCCGTTACTGTAGCATCATCTCTTTGCTTTCATTTTCTGTGCCTTCATTAATAATCTAAGTACCTCATTATCCTTAAACTCTCTTCCCAACTTTCCCCAGCTTCTTTTATGATTAGTGCAAGTGGAGACCAGTCTCAAGTCAACACAATCCTTTGCTTTAAATTCTGCTGATGTCCTGACAAGACTCAACTCAAAGTCCCTGAACCCTCACAGCCAATGAGATATTTCTGTAGTGCAGCCACAAGTTGTGAAGTGAAACAGTCACTTTATACGGATTCCACATTACAACAGTGACTGAACACCTAAAGCAGCTCATTAGCTGCAAAGCACTTTGAGATGCTCTGTGGTGATAACCAGTGCTATATAAATTCAAGCACCTGTGAAACAACAATGGCCAGGCCATCTCAGGTTAAATATTAGTCAGGGCACTGGGAAGAACTCCCTGCTCATGGTGGCTGTGAGATCTCCCATGTCTATCTAATAGGGCAGATGTGGCCTCGGTTTAACATCACAGCTAGGAGATGAGACAACAAGGCGTAGAGCTGGATGAACACAGCAGGCCAAGCAGCATCATAGGAGCAGGAAGGCTGACGTTTCGGGCCGAGACCCTTCTTCAGAAACTTCAGAACCCTACTACCACTAACTGCTGGGAGATGGCACCTTTAAGGTTTGAGAGTAGATTTGTAGCTCGAGTTGTGGATGTTGTGGTTGGTTGGCTCGCCGAGCTGATTTGATGTTTCACAGACGTTGCATTGCCCTGCCGGTTAACATCATCAGTGATGGCACCTTTGAACGATAGCAGAGCTGGATGGCCTGATCAGACCATGTTGTGCTAAGTTCCTCAGTGCTCAGCTGGGGTAAGGTATGAGATTCCCAACCAAAACCTTTTGGCTCAAAAGTTAAATTGGTTCTGCTAGGGAGCAGCTTAGACGAGGCTCAGCTCCGAGATTTCAATATTCCGTATTGGGGTTTCCCAGCTGCTTGGAAAAAGAGGTCAGGTGGCCTCACCCTGAATCTTCTGTCTATCAACCTCACCCCAACATCCTGTTCCTCAACCTCTCTCTAACCTTCTGACCATCAACTCCATCCTAACCTTCTGTTCATCAACCTCACATAACCTTCTGTCCATCGACACAGGGTCAGGAGTCTGATATCTACCTCCATGACCTCTCGCTCAGTGATGGAGAGTGGTACAGGGAAGAAGATAATCAGGGAGTCAGGGAATATTCAGAAAACAAGGGGTGGCCGGGAACTGTTCATACCTTTCCCTTGTTGCTGGAAGATTCTGAAAGAGAAAACAGAAAAGGTGAAATGCTGAGTAAGGAGGACAAGTTTGTTCATCAATTAATTACCAAAAAATTCTGAAGTACACGGTGAGCCAATCAGGTCTCTTGTGATGATCTTTGATGATATCTGAGAGCCAAATTCATGTAATGGACTGGCAAGGGACAAGTTTTATTTATTTACGCTTTCATTCATGGGATGTGGGTATCTCTGGCTAGGCCAGCATTTATTGCCCATAAGGTGACCACATTGCTGTGGGTCTGGAGTCATATGTAGGCCAGACCATAGAACATAGAACATAGAACATAGAACATTACAGCGCAGTACAGGCCCTTCGGCCCTCGATGTTGTGCCGACCTGTGAAACCAATCTGAAGCCCATCTAACCTAAACTATTCCATTATCATCCATA